ACATTAGCAGGGTTGCCAGATTAAAAATACAGGACATCCATGGGGCGCGTGTGTGGCTCAGTCAGTTTAGTGTCTGCCTTCAGCTCAGGTCATGATCCCAGGGTCCTGGGATCAAGCCCTGCATCAGGTTTCCTGCTCCGTGGAGAGCCTGCTTCTCCCTCTCCCTCCATCCCTCCCCACACCTCATCCCCCGCTCCGCTTGTGCTGGTGTGCTCTCTCTCCCTCTCTCAAATAAATAAAATCTTAAAAAAATAATAAAAATACAGGACATTCAGTTACAAGTGAATTTCAGATAAACAAATGAATGTTTTAGTATAAGGATGCCCCCAATATTGCATGGGACATAAACTAAAAAGGTATTCGTTGTTTATCTGAAATGACAGATGGGATACAAAGATGACCTCCACGTGTTTACATGGTAGGAGTCATTTAGAAGAGCTCAAAGAGGGAATGATACACTATTATACTAAAACACTTGTAATAATCTTTCTGTAAGTAAAATGCCAGAGTATTCAAAGCATTATGCAACCCAAACAATTTTTTTTCTTTTTCTTTTTTAGTATAAGTATGTCCCATGCCGTGTTTGGGGAAAAAAACCTTTTCATTGTTTATCTGAAATTCCGACTTGACTGGGTCTATTTTTATTAGCTAAATCTAGCAACTGAAACCATACGCAGTCTTTAGCTGCACATTGTCCTCTTCCTGTTTCCTCATGACACGCTCAGCCGCTTAAGAATCTAAGATATCAGCAAGTTGTGAACCCAAACAGGGTGATTTGTCCTCACCTAGTGGTGGACCCAGTCAACGTCTGTACCTTCAATGCCCTGCTTAATCACTTACGCAACACCTACAGAGCTACAGAGTCAAAAAAAAAGTCTTTGCTTGCCATTTAGCAGAAGGGGCTATATCGAGGCAAATTGCTCTAAAATCTCTCTTAGGCTGCACCCTAGACGAATGTGCGGGTACAGAGGGTCACAAAAATGACTTCTACATGTTTAAGAGGTAGAGGTCTTTTAGGAAGATTTCAGACTGGATGATCTAACTCTTTATCCTATAAAAGTCATAATCTTATCTTTTTCTAACTAAAATTCCAGACTGTTAAAACAGTATGAGATTTGGGACTATTCTATTTGTTGTTATACTTAAGGACTAACTCCAATCCTTTGGGAAAACGGACTATCTTTCTACTTGACAGGCAAATGTTTTTCTCATTCATTCATTCGTTCATTCATTCATTTTTTTTCCCTCAGCTCCTTCCTCTCTTGAAGGAGCTAGGAAATTTTGGGGAGGACCAGGGGGTGAGGGGCAGTGAGATTCACCGTGAGGACAGTTTAATTAATTTTTTTAAAGATTTATTTATTATTTTAGAGAGGGGGGAGGGGCAGAGAGAGAGAGAGAATCTTAAGCAGACTCCGCATTCAGCACGGAGCCTGACACAAGGCTTGATCCCAGGACTCTGAGATCATGACCTGAGCGGATATCAAGAGTCAGATGCTTAACCGACTGAGCCACCCAGGTGCCCCAAGGACAGTTTAATTTAAACCAGCTACTGACAGCAACAATCTATTTTCTCCCTCTTCCCCAAACCTGTTTTTTCTATCTACTCTGCCAATTTTTTTTCTCCTTCATCAGTTACTACCTCATCCACAAGATATCCTCTGCTAGAATGTGAGTCCCAAGTGGGATGGGCCTCATGAAGGGTAGGAAACTGGTATATTTTTTGCATGAAAGGCATCAAATTCTCTTCTTGCCTTTTTCCCCTGGGGTGAGGGAAAAGATACTCCTGTTTTTCCTCCATCAATATAAATATCCCATCACAAATGCCCACATATATTTGTGTGGTCTACATACGTAGAATTCTGTGGTCACCTAAACCCAAGAAAAAATGCAGTGAGAAGAAACTGGATGTTACTGGTACTTGTTAAGTAACAGGGCAGTCCTTGGGCATCAGAAATGTATTCATTAGTATTTACTTCCTTGTTCCTTGTGAAAAAAAATTTGAGGAGGCTTATTAAAAAGATTATTGAAGGGTCCCCAGCCTGAATATCAACAGTGTTCAACATCAGAATAAATGTTTCCAGATACGGGCGCCTGGGTGGCTCAGTGGGTTGAGGGGTCCGACTTGGTTTTGGCTCAGGTCATGATCTCATGGGTCGTGAGATCGAGCCCTACATCGGGCTCCGTGCTCAGTGGGGAGTCTGCTTGAAGAATCCTCTCCCTCTGCCCCTCCCCCTGCTCTCTCTCTAAAATAAATATTTTTTTAAAAATTTTTATTTGACAGAGAGAGACACAGCGAGAGAGGGAACACAAGCAGGGGGAGTGGGAGAGGGAGCAGCAGGCTCCCCACTGAGCAGGGAACCCGATGTGGGGCTTGATCCCAGGACCCTGGGATCATGACATGAACCAAAGGCAGATGCTTAACAACTGAGCCACCCAGGCGCCCCATAAATAAATAAATCTTAAAAAAAAAAAAATGTGTCCAGATGGCAGGAGAGATCAATTTACATGTGGGATTGGGGAGTGTCCTTAGAGATTTCTGAGTTCGTTCTGAAACGAGAGATTTGCAAAAGGCAGGCAGTTTAGTTCAGAAAAGCAGAGTATGCAAGACTGTTTTATCAAGGTTGTGCTCCACCCAAGTTTTAAGTTGAGGTTGTGAAAAGGCAAAGAGCAAGCGAATGAGCTCCCTGTCCAGGATCCGTGGGACAGGACGGCTGTGGTGGTGCCTTTGGGATACTCAACGCAGGACGTCGCAACGTTTGGCCCAGGCATCTGCCCGCTCTGCTGGGAGTATCTTGTAAAAGCATCAGTTGTAGTGACTTTTGTACATGAAAGTTTATCCAGTCTAAGCACAACAACAAAATCAAAGACTTTTGGCCCCGGTGTTTATTATATAAAATTGTTCACAGCAATAGGGTTTAAGACAAAAACACAAATACAAGTTGACTGCATAGAAACACTGAACACATTGGTTATTATGTCCTTCCGCAACTCAACCAACATACGAACACGGTCAGAAGCACCCATTTGGTTCAAATTGTGGATTTCACACATTGATAATTACTTTCCACGCAACCTCCATGAGCGAGGCCCTGCACTGCTGTAGATGCTGGGGATATGGCCATGAATAAAAGAAGGTCCTTGTGCTCAGAGAGCTTCCAGTCTCGTGGGGGCAGACATATACCAGACAAAAAACAAATACATAACATGACAAGTAGTCACAGGAAGGAGAGGAAGGAAGGAAGGAAGGTTTCTGTACACAGAATTCGTTTTTGTTTTTTTTTTTTTTAAAGATTTTTATTTATTTATTCATGAGAGACATAGAGAGAGAGGGGCAGAGGGAGAAGCAGGCTCCCAAGGAGCAGAGAGCCCGATGCGGAACTCGATCCCAGGACCCTGGGATCATGACCTGAGCCGAAGGCAGACGCTTAACCAGCTGAGCCACCCAGGCGCCCCACAGAATTTTTAAGAGCAATCTGGGGCTGCTTTTTAAAGGTCGCAGGTTGGGGGAAAAGATACAAACCCTAAATCATATTTAAAAAATAACTTTATAGGTTGTAAATTTCTGGTCAGATTCTAAAGTTCATAGCTCTGAGCAGCGTTTCTAATTTTCGAATTAGAATCTATACTAGTAAGTAAGTCCTTTACGGCTATCCTAATGGAATGACCCACATATGTGAGGGCAAGGGTAGATATAAACACACATGTGTTTACACACCCATGTCACTATTTACATGTATATTCACCTATACAAGGGATTTCTGGCTGTAATGATACAAATGTAATTGATTATATTCAGCCTGGCCAAGAACTATCAACATTGTATTTCTGAGGCAGTTTCCTGGTGCTCCCGAGTACAGGATGTTCCCAAGTAAACTATTCTTCAGAAAGAACACTTACCATACCTTACAAGGAAGCACCTCCTGATCATATGCTACATGTACATGTAGACCATCATGAAGAATGGAAAGGAACTGCATTTTCATGTCTAGAAGACAAGGCAAAAATGAGGGGTTTTTGTTCACTGCTGTCGAGACGCTTGTTCACTGAAAATCACAGAGGGTCTTCAAACCTGAGGACATCAAACTCCCACATGCTAGGGACCTAACCATTCCACTGGTGTCTTCTGATTGTAATGAGTAAGGTTCCCCTCCTCCACGCCCCACAGAGGTACATCCCGTGTAAAGCGACTTTCTCCCTGGGCCTGGGTGCTGGACGGGACCACTCCGTCTGCACGGGTCGAGAGCCAGGGCTGGTGCAGGGGTCCTAACACGGTCCCAATCTCCTCTGTAAAGAAGCAAATTTCCAGAGACGGGGCCTCTACAAATAGAGGGCCGACCCAGAAGATCTGCCTGAAACTAGATGTCTCCGGTCAGAAAGATCAAAAGGGGAGTGTGTTTGAGTCACTTCAGGGATTCTCCAGCAGAGACCTGCGTCTCCCTGGGGCCTCCCCGATCCCCGCTACCCTCTGCTGGAAGCCGGGGCTGTGGGTCCAGGAAAGCGCACGGTGTGCTCCGTGGAGCTGTGGTTATGCCAGGAGGAGCCACCTCAGAGCGGCTGCCTTCCACCTTTTCTTCCCCACAGATGAACCTGGGGCGTCAGCAGGGACGACGACAGCAATAATACTGGCCTTAGGTTACGTACGTCCCAGCGCGCTGTGTTGCTGCATCTCCCTTCCCTTGGGAGGCCACCAAAATTCCTAGACTTCCTTCCTATGAAGGGTCTCCATGACTAATTTAGGAATGCACTCCAGGTGGCCATTGAAAAACATGATATAATTCTTAAAATGAGGTTTTCCCCCCAGTTACACTTTCTTCCTTCCGTTGATAGTAAGCGTTCACTTTCTTGAGTGTGTGTAAGCGGAGAAGGGACACCTGCATGTCCCACATGGGACAGAGAAGCTGGCCCGGTTCAAAACATGACACGGATAAGTTATATGCCAATTATATCTCAATAAAACTGAGAAAGGAAAAACAAAAAAACAACAAAAACCAAGACACAGATGAGCAACCCCACAGTTAATTTAATAATTAAAAGCTGATTAGACGCATTACTCTTATTTTTCACGGAAGTCACCTGCTTTTCTCCTACTGAATGATTCTACTTCTTACTCTGTCTGTTCTATCAGGAGCATTTTCTGGTCCCAAGGCTTCCTGCATACACTGTGACTAACCTCTACATACTCCCTTATCTTAAAATATCATAATAACTTCTCTGATTAGACAGTTGTCCCTTTCTCTATCACTTCACTGACTGCAAATTCGAATCAGAAGCTACTGTTCTACTAGGTTGGGGATTAGGTTGGGAGTTAGGAAGTATTAATGTATAGGAAAAGATGACCTGGCTTGAATCCTAAACCACAGAAGGGAGAGGTGACTGTGATGTAGGAGCCAAGGTTTTGGGGACACGTGGACAGGGTTCCCCTGAAAATTGTAAGGATCACATTTCTGGCACCTGCAGACGTTTTCTAGGGTAAGCTATTTTATAGAGAACCAGTGGTAATGGTATCCGGCTTTTCTCGAGAAATTTCTTTCTACACTTCGGTGTCCAAAGTGTCTAAATACCTCCTGAAAAATCCTGAACTGTAACACTGAGAATGGAGGACGAGTCGGCGACACGGACAGCCACAGGCTCTCGGTGACGGTGTCAGCCGATAGGAACACAGTGACCCTGTGCTTCGTCACATGGCTGTTAGCACAGCACTTGAGATGTCATCAGAGACACAGAGAACATTTTCTGGATTTCACTCATTTCATCAGGCAGGTCCAGTGACAGGTCTTTCAAGGGTCTGCGCACAGAAAAGAATAGAGAGAACTTCTGTCCCACGGACAAGTACTTGCCTGCATTTTCAGACCAGTGACCCAAGACGTTTTCCCTCCCCAACAAGCCGGGATCCTCTGCATAGTTACAGGGCGAAGCGAGAACCCAGGCTTCGAGCGCGGCTCCCACAGGACTCCCGAGTGTTCTAGAGCTCGCTTCTGGTCACTCGGTTTCCTGGTGCAGGAATTCTTCGCTGAATTTGCTTCCACTGCTTTCATCTTCATTAGAATAGTTTCCCGAATCTTGACTGGTTTGGGAATTATATTTTTTGTGCTCTCCATCGGTTTGGTTAGTTTCTTCTACTGCCGTGATAGTGTTTGTGTTTTCAATTATAAAACATCTTTCCGTTTGTTCCTCGGAAGTGAGAAGGAGGAGATTCCGGAGCGGTTGCTCAGAGAAATACTAATTTAAAAAAAGGGGGGAAGAACAGGAACAGATTGTTTAAAATAATGACAGTTTTCAGTTCCAACGGCTTCAGTTTCTTACATCCACTACCGAGAAAACCAGTGGTAATGGTTTATATTAATAAACATATTAAAAACCAGCTAGGAGCTATCGACTGCCATCTAACGTTTAGAATAAGCCCCTCACTAGTGAGGTCCCGTGCCTCTTGGCACTGCCTTGGGGCAGGTACATGAAGAGGACCCAAGATGGGGCACAGGGGGCTGGTGAGCGCGGGAGAGTGAAGGAAAGGGGTGCGCACTGGGACTATGGAGAGTTTCTTTTGAAACTTTATAGCATAACGGCATTTGCTCAAGTTCTCTCTCTCTCTCCTTTTTAAAGAAATTATTTTTTTAAGATTTTATTTATTTATTTGACAGAGAGAGACACGGAGAGAGAGGGAACACAAGCAGGGGGAATGGGAGAGGGAGAAGCAGGCTTCCCGTGGAGCAGGGAGCCCGATGCGGAGCTCGATCCCAGGACCCCAGGATCATGACCTGAGCTGAAGGCAGATGCTTGACGACTGAGCCACCCAGGCGCCCCTGCTCAAGTTCTCTTAAGTGACCTGCTTAACTTCACAGAGTTAACATATGCAAACATACTGTAGCTGATCGACAGTTCATGTTCGGGTCTCGCTAGCTCCAAAGCCGGAGCTCCAAGCGATACTCCCAAGGCAGGCAACCTGAACCCCTGCCCTAGGTGGACACACCACCCCCAGGCTAGGTCCTGGGTTTAGGTCTTTGTCATTTAGTGTTTTCATTAGATATGCCAACCTCACAGAGGGGGGCCAAACAGGAGCCTGTGAGGTGTCCCGAAAGGAGACTCATATTTATTTTCTGTGATGTCATCCACAGGATGCCCTGATGAGGATGCTGTAGGCTTTGGGTGAATAGCCAGCTTTTCAATGATAAAACAAATGCCAAGGTAGCCAAACTGAAGAAAAATATGAGATTAAGGACAAACCTTACAATCCCATGTTATATGATATTAAATGACTGTTTCTAAAGCCAATTTACTGAAAGTGAAGAAAATATCCCAGTCTGTATATTTTCTGGATATCAAGAAAATGCATATATTCTGTGGAAATCAAATATATTTCCCATTCGTTTTAAGAAAAATCCACCCATTGACAAAGAAAAGTCACATACCTCATCTATAGTGGAAGGAGGTTTACTTGATGGAAAGAACACATAACTGATACATCTAAAGAGAAGTTTCATGACATAGATGACAACCGGGATGGAAAACAATGCAGCACAAACTCCAGCTATGAGCCAGGTTTTGGAAGTATTTCCTAAAAATAAGTAAGTGATGTTAAGCTTCAACATAGATCTTGACACACAAATATGTTCACAATGCTGACAGTTTAGGTGGATGAAATGTAGCTATGTGAAAGGAAATATAAAAATCTATGAAATGATATACCCTTAGAAATATTTCTGGTAACATGGGGCATACAACAGCTGTAGGCAATGCGTTTCCTTTATCTATTTATAAGTAGGCTCCATGCCCAAGGTGGGGCTGGAACTCATGACCCCGAGATCAAGAGTCACACGCTTTACTGACTGAGCCAGCCAGGCATGCCTCCCACCCCCTCTTTTTAGGCAATGCATTTCCACTTAGAGAGTGGCCTGGCAAGGTGAAGGATGCAATGCTGTCATTTAGCCACCAGCGTGCGAAGTGTTCTCTAGCACTTCCTGATACAGAGCTAGCATAATTAAAACCATTCCGTGACTAATCAGCATCTGCAAGTCAACACGGCAAACTGTAAAATACACAATGGGACTTAACCATTCCCACAGAACAAAATTCACAATTGAACTAATGAAGTGATTCCCACATGATAATTATGTTAAGAATTATGTAAAGAAAAAACCCCAAAACCACCTAAAATAGCCTTATTAAATGTTAAAAGAGTAATTATTAAAGGCAATTTAATTATGTGCGTATTGAATGAAATATAATATTCAAAACACTGAACTGCGCATTAAAAATATTTTCTAAAACCAAAGGACTTAGCCTGAAGGTCTACTTTGGATTCATATAGCTCATGAAGAAAGTATTCTCTTTATGCTTTTGTAGTAAGAAGGAAATATTTTATAATTTCCAGTGAATTTGAATTATTTTTTTAAAGTCCAGTTACATTAAAAAAAAAAAGAGATATAATGGAAGATTCTGACCTGGTTTTGTTTTCTCACACACAATATCGCTAAAAACACTGCTTTTATTCCACTTTTCTTCCTGAATGAGCACTCTGGCTTTGATACAGTATACAGTCAGTGGTTTTAATTTAGGAAAAGTAAAATCCGTTCTATTCTCTCGAATTTTTCTCTGTAAGAAAATAAGTAGATCATTGATAAAATTTAGTCACCTTATGAAATCAGATAGGGAATGTCAATTTCCTAAATTCTCTAAATATTCAGTCTAAGACTGGCCTCTCCTAACCACTTAGTTGGTGTATGTTTAAGAAATATACATTTGTTTTGGACAACACATTACGACCCAAGTCAAACTTAAAAATGCTGCTTCCAAAAAGGAATTATGACATATTCCTAAGACAACTCTAATTTATAAGTACCTGTTGATTTGGTTTAATTGCCGTTGTATTTCCTCTGCTCGGTGGCAGAATATTTAGGAGCGGGGGCTCTGGCCTTAAATTGCCTGTATTAGGGTTATCGCTTATAGCTATGTGGCCTTAGGCAAGTTGTTTCTTTTCTCTCGGCCCTATTTCCAGATCCGTAAAATGAGGACAATTACTGCTCTTCCCTGCAGTAGTCAGCTATCACCACAATAATATCGTGTAACAAATCACAAAATAATGACAACAAAATAACATCATGCAATGTCACATCATATAACAAAACATCCTGTGGCTCAAAACCCATTTATTTTTCTCACTCACACGTGTCCTGACCGGCCAAGGAGCCCGTACCGAGGCCGTGGGTCCTCCCCAGGTCCCTCATCCTCCTTGGACCCAAACCAAGGGCAGCATGCTTTCCTCTTGGCAAACGAGAGAAGCCCAAGAGCCAAGCCAAACCGTCCTCACATCACAACCACCCACACTGTACTGTTTGAAGCCCGGCATCAGGGAAGCAATAAGAGCTACTCCATCCCAAGTGTCTGCCGAATGATTTAATCAGGCAGTCTGGCAGGACTGTTTTGAAGAATGACCGAGACAATTCATGTAAATTACCACAGCACCTGATGCATAATAAGCTTTCAATAAATACAAGTTGCTATTATGATTGTAATTACTGACAGGATACGATGGCAACTGGTATTATTTAATCTCTATGATCTGTCAAGCGATGTGCTAAGTGTTTTCATATATTACCACATTTTAAGATTTTTTTTTTTTTTTAAATTGTTAAGTAATCTCTACAGATCCAACGTGGTGGGGCCTGAACTCACAACCCTGAGATCAAGAGCTGCACGTTCTACTGACTGAGCCAGCCAGGCACTCCTCTTATGTTACCTCATTTTAACCTCATAAACATCCTTTAAAAAAAAATGGAGTTACTATGACTACCACCACTTTAGAGAAGAGGAAACAAAACCTCAGAGAGGTAAAGCACCCTGCCTAAAATACACAATTTGGTGGCTTGAGACACAAACACAGGTTTTTTCCTGATGTAAAGGACAACTGAGAACTGACTGTAATTCTCAATGGGCTAAATTATGCTTTGGTTACAGGGTGTTCAGATAGTTAAAAGGAAAGTAGCCAAGTCATTATAATTTTCTTAGATTTCCAACAGAAAATAAAGTCAGGTTACAGAATTTATCCACCCAACTACACAAGATTTTTCAAGGTTGATTCCTTGATTGTAATTCCACAGGCTAAAGGGATCTAGAATCATGTGCATTATCCGATGTTGTGTACTGCTTTTGTCCGTGGTTTTCTAATTTTAGTGTTTAAACCCGTGTTTCTTGACTCTTTTTCATGACTCCCCCTGCCAAGAAGCCTTTTCAGAGGACTGTTTTCAAATCCTTCCTCTGCCATGAAATTGAATAGTAAGGAACAGGATTTTGTGCGGCAAAGCTGAACTCTGGAGGCATGCTTTCCTCTCGGAGTGCCACAAACCACTGGACCATCTGAGATTTTGCCCCCTCGGAGGTACCCTGCCCCCAGGGCATAGCTGGCAAAGTCTGGAGGTTTTTTGGTTGTCCCCACTGGGAGGCAGTGCACTGGCCATCAGCCAGAGAGGCTGCTAAGCATCCTATAATACACAAGACAGCTCCCACAGCAAAGAATTATCCAGTCTGAATGTCGCCAGTGTCGAGAAACTCTGGTTTAGATAAATACCCAGGAATCATGTTAAAAGCGCAAATTTCCAAGTTCCACCCAAGAGATTCTGATTTGAGTAGTAAGAGGTGCAGGGATCTGAATGTTAACAACACACCTGGATGCCCAGATGCAGGTGATCCATAACTACGCCGTAAAACAGGGAGAGATGCTAATATTCTTCATGTTGTCATCACAGTCTTAATGCTTAAAAATTTCCCTAAAATTTTAACTTCAAACTTTGTTTCCCCAAAATCCTAGTTACAACCCTACATTATAGATTAACATCACATAGTTTTTTTTTTTTTTTTTTCTTTTACCTCAGCATTTGAAGTGTTTTCCCAAAATACAATTTCATAAATTAGTGGGTAATGATGGTTCACAGGCTTGCTTTCAGACTCTTCTGGAGCGCTGATATAGACCCGCAGGGAAACATCGTTAATGGATTTCATGATAATGACTGGAGGAAACAGGGTAACTAGGAAAAAAATGTACAGGTACAATGTTCAACTTGGAAAAACAATATTAAGACTCTGTACCAAATCAGAGAAGCACAATCTGAAGAAAAAACTACTGACTTACTTTGTAATTGAGTATCAAATTTTTTTTCATCAGACCAAACAGATGTGGTATTTCCATCCGATGCTCGAACACGGATAAGGTAAATTCCTTTTCGGAAAGTATTTTTGGGAAAGACACACTGTGTAGTTTGGACATTTTCACAGTTTGGTATTTGTTTCCATTTACCTGAATTGTCCCCAGGAATCTTTTTTAAATAGGCACTTTTAAGACAAAAAAAAATATTACAAACATAGTAATTCAATAAATATTTATGAAATACTTAGAATATGCTAGACACAGTTAGGGGTTAGGGTTACAGAGGGAAACAGTCTCCACCCTCAGGAAGCTCACAATACAATGCAAGAGACACACATACAACACAAAGAGAACCAGAGCCCTTGCTCTGGGGTATGACAGAGCATTACTGTACCAGAGCTGACCAGAGCCAGCACACAAGAACCACCGCTGAATTTTCTGGAATGCTGCGAGCCAGTTATTAAAAGCCATTACTATAAATTAAATTACATAAACTTACAAATAAACAAACTGCATTAAAAATAAAAATACTCAAAACTCTTTTTTTTTTTTAATTTATAGCTGGCAGGTCAGAAGCACAGGCGACAAGTTACATCGAAACTCATTTTGTCCTAATTATTTTATTACATTTTATTATCTATGCTCAAAACTATCTATGTCTATCGTATCTCTGTGGTGGAAATACTCTTTAACGGGGTCCTCCTGTGCATTTCTCCCTAATGCCATGTTCAGTGACATCATGTTGAAAGGGACCAGAGTAGGTGTATTTATATCATGAAAACTGGCAAGCGCTACGAATAAGGCTTTTTTTTCCTTCTGGAAAGCCAGCTGTGAAACATATTACCCAGACACCGATGGGTAAGTGTTAAAATGGAGATACACGCCACAGTGTGGTAAGAGCAAGTCTACACAGAATATGGACACTTAACTGAGCCTGGAGACGTCAAGTAAATTACTCAGTAACCAACAGCTCAAAGCAACTCAGTTCAGGCCTGGAACTACAACAGCCTCCCTAACTGGTTCTCCCGTCTTTGGTGTCTCTGTCCACATACAATGTGGCAATCTTCACCCTCCTTGCATACAGACCTCATGTTACCCACCCCTCAATGCAAAATTCTAAATGGCACCCAAATGCCTGATCTCAACCCAGCCCATGTATTCAATTTTCTCTCTCATTGTTCTCCCGCGCCCAAATGTTCAACCGTTCTCAAGGTGGGGCTTCTCCCATGTGGTAGGAAAAATTCCAAGATGGCCCCCAAGAGTCCTTGTGACACCCTGAGCAGAGGGACCAGCTAAGCCAAGCCTGGTCCCCCGACTGGAAGTCACTGGGAGGTAACAGCACTTTTCAAGCTGTTATTAAATTTGCGGTAATTTGTTACAGAGCAATAACACCCCCACCCCCGACCTTAACCTAATTTTCAATCTCTTTGTAGCCTGAGCTTCCCTTGTGCTGTAGCTCTGCCTAACACGCCCTCTCGTGTCCAATTTTAAAATATATGATTCACCAATGAAGGCCTTGTTCACATCTCATCTCCCTCCACATGGCTTCTTCGGTCTCTCCGGCCCCATCCACCTTTACATTTTCAATTTCTGTCACCCTTATAATTTGCAGAGCACTCCTCACCCCCAAACCACACCTCACTATGCCACCTCAGCTACCTGCTTTGGATTCTAGGAACCACGTGTTGTATTGCTGTACCTTTACCATCCCTTTGGTACTTTGCACGGTGTGCTGAGTACCCACAAAACTTCGAGAACCGCCACCAGAAAACCCCTACTCCTCTCTAGTCTGTGGCGTTAGTACTTAGAGCATACTTCTGAGAGTGAAGTTCCAGGTCAGTCAGGGTCTATGGGCATGCAGGCACGGGAATGCGTTTCCATTGCGCAACTAACATGGAAGGACAGAGAGAGTCCACCAGTGCAGTCCCCATTTCCCTTCACCCTCAGTTCACTTCCTGTTTCTCTTCCTCCTCTCACTCTTCCTTTCCTGCCCTTGCTCTCCTTGCCTCTGGTCCCTCTATTCCTCAATATAGCTTTCTTGCCCACCCCCTTCCTCCCCACAACCCGCTCCTCCTTCCACTGGATTTGCCTCTTTATCCCCTACAACTTTCCAGCCAACATGAACTACAGGCAGTTCTCAGCCACTTCTGCGGGGCTGAGACATTATCCACAGTTTTGTCCAGCTTTCTTCATTTCCCACTGAAGTGATCACTAAAAAATCTGTCAAAACCACTGACATTGTCAAGAAAATGGGAAGGCTAACTTGAAATGAGTAAGACAGACTGGACTGAGATCATTCCAAGGACTCATGGAAAAAGTGAGTCCTGAAGAAAAGCTCAGGGTCATGTGTCAAGTAGTCTAGATTGGGGAAATAAGACATGCAACGAGAAGCACTCTTGAAAAAAAAAGAAAAAGAGCCAGTAAGTACATGAGATATTATTAAATATGCCCCTATGATAACAAATGAAGAAACCAAGGCCAAAAGAAATTAAGGGATTAGCTCAGTGTCACCCAGTTCGTTAACAGCAGAGCAGGGACCAGAATTAAATAATCACCTCAAGCAGTCAGCCTTTGTGCCTGGAGCTGTAGGGGGCTGAAGTGGAGTGAAAGGAACCATAATAAACTGGGCAAAAGGAAACTCATGGAATAGAACTTACTGGAGCCACTGAGCTTGAAAAGTCACATTTTCATATGTATAATCCCATTTAAGAACATAGATGTGATTTTTAGCATCAACTTGAATATTTTCTGGTGGAGGCAGTTTATTTTCAACTAGAAGACAAAGAATACACAGAAAAGCATACATTGTTACTTTAGTGAGATAAGACATGGTAAGATTTTTTTTTTAGTTCTATTTATTTTTAAAGATTATTTATTTATCATTTGAGAGAGAGCAAGAGAGAATAAGCACGAGTGGGGTGGAGGGGCAGAGGGACAAGGAGAAGCAGACTTCCCCCTGAGCAGGGAGTCCGATGTGGGGCTCGATCCCAGGACCCCCGGGTATCATGACCTGAGCTGAAGGCAGACGCTTAACTGACTGAGACACCCAGGCACCCCCATGGTTAAGAATTCTTCTTAACAGCATGGGCAAGAAAAGAAAAAGGCTTACATGTTATCAGGGGGTAACAGCTAAGTGAGTTACAAATGGTGTACATTCACACAATGTGATAATATGCAGCGATTTAAAAGAACGTGATGGGGCACCCAGATGGCTCAGTCTGTTAAGCGTCTGACTTTGGCTCAGGGTCCTGGGATCAAGCCCCGCATCGGGCTCCCACTCAGCGGGGAGTCTGCTTCTCCCTCTCTCCCTGCCACCCCCCGACCTGCTCGTGTCCTCTCTTCTCTCAAATAAATAAAATCTTAAAAAAAAAAAAAAGAACGTGATAGATCTGTATATGCCAACATACAAAGAGATCCTCAATGTAGTAGGTTAAACAAGCAAGTTGTAAGATCGATCTGGCAGGATCCTATTTTTTAAATTCAAATACCAAAACTAAGAAACTATATACACATCTGTGTGTATGCTTATAATAAGCCCTGACAGAAGCAGGAAAGAATATGCACAAACTACCAGCAGGGCTAACTGTTGGTAAATGGTACTGGGAATAAGGAGGCAGGAGAGGAAAACTTTACTTTAAATTCTCCTGTAGGGCGCCTGGGTGACTCAGTTGGTTAAGCGACTGCCTTCGGCTCAGGTCATGATCCTGGAGTCCCTGGATCGAGTCCCGCATCGGGCTCTCTGCTCGGCAGGGAGCCTG